ATCACCGTTACATACGGTTCAGTGTCTCCTCTCAATCCACGGCGATCGGGCCTGGCGCCCCTCCGGCGCAGAAGGGCCCTCGTTGGGCCCTGAAGTCCCTGGACAGGGAGATGGTGGAGGTGGCCTCGATAGTGGCCACCTGGTGTCCAGAGCCGGAGTCCTCTTCGGTGAGGGAGGAGGTGGAGTGGTTCGGGGCGGCCTTGGAGCGTATCTGTGACGCTTCAATGGCTCGGTCCCGACCTCTTCCGCCGCGTAGGCAGGTGTACTGGTGGTCGGAGGAGTTGGCCGCTCTTCGGTCAACTTGTGTGGTGACCCGACGCCAGTACACCAGGTACAGGAGGAGACGGCGTGCCTCGCGGAACACCGAAGAGGAAAGGCGCCTCTATTGCCTCTATCAGGAGGCAAAGAAGGCCCTCAGGATGAAGATCGCGGAGGCGAAGGAAAGGGCGTGGGAGGAGCTCCTGAACACCTTGGAGCTCGACCCATGGGGGCGGCCGTACAAGCTCGTAATGAGCAAGCTGCGCCCCTGGGCCCCACCCCTTACATCCAGCATGGAGCCGGCACTTCTGAACTCAGTCGTGTCGGCCTTGTTTCCCCATGCGGATGCTTCGCTTCCCTCCCAGTCGACGTCCCCTCCCCCGGACGCGGGGGTCCCGGACGTGACATCGGCCGAGCTCAGCTCGGCCTTGGACAGGACGCGAGGCAAGAGGACGGCTCCCGGCCCTGATGGGGTGCACGGGAAGGTTCTGTCTCTTGCCTTGCAATCCGGCCTCGACGAGCGGTTCCGCAAGCTGTTGTCGGCTTGTCTGCGGAACCGCGTCTTCCCGGACTTGTGGAAGGAGGGAAGGCTGGTTCTTCTCCAGAAGCCTGGCAAACCGCCGGACTTGCCTTCGGCGTATCGGCCGATCGTGCTGCTGGACGAAGCGGGCAAGCTCTTTGAGCGTATAGTAGCGACCCGCATCCAGCAGCACTTGGCTCTGGAGGGGCCAGACCTGTCCGATTGCCAGTTTGGCTTTCGGAAGGGGCGGTCGACAATCGACGCGATCGCGAGATTGCGCGATGTGTCGGACGGGACTGTGGCGGAGGGCGGGGTTGTTTTGGCGGTGTCGTTGGACATAGCCAACGCGTTCAACACCCTGCCCTGGGAAGCGATTATGGATGGGCTTCGCTATCATGGCGTGCCTGTCTATCTTCGCGACGTGATTGCGTCGTATCTCACGGCGAGACGCATCACGTTCCCCAGGAGGCAAGGATGGGGTTCCCACCCCGTCAGCTGCGGTGTGCCGCAGGGGTCGGTGTTAGGTCCACTCCTGTGGAACATCGGCTATGACGGGGTCCTGCGTTGCTCTCTCATCCGGGGTGTCAGCGTCATCTGCTACGCGGATGACACCCTGGTGGTTGCGAGGGGCGACGATTTCCGCGAGGCCAAGCTTCGCGCCACGGCCGGGGTGGCACAGGTCGTGGCGCGGATCCAGAGGATTGGCCTGCGAGTCGCCCTGAACAAATCAGAGGCGATCGCATTCCACGGTCCCAGGAGAGCGCCGCCGAGCGGGGCGCAAATCATCGTCGGCGGAGAGGCCATCGAGATAGGGTCCACCCTAAAGTATTTGGGGTTGGTTCTCGACTCTCGGTGGTCCTTCAAGGCGCACTTCGCGGCACTTGCCCCGAAGCTCGCCGCCACGGCATCGGCCTTGTGCCGAATTATGCCGAACCTTGGCGGCTCGAGCGAGGGGTGTCGCCGCTTGTACGCCGGCGTTGTGCGCTCCAAGGCGCTCTATGGCTGCCCCATATGGGCCCAGGACTTGTCGGCGCAGAACCTTGCGCTGCTGAGGCAGTCGCAACGGGTGATGGCGCTCAGGGTGGCGAGGGCGTACCGCACCGTGTCCTATGACGCGGTGTGCGCAATAGCCGGGCTCGCACCCTGGCACCTGGAGGCGGCTGCCTTAGCCGACATTTACTGGCGCCGGGCTGAAGTCCGGAGTCGAGGCGAGGAGCTCACTTACGAGCTCCTCAAGGATTGGAGGGAGGACGGCCAAAGGGCTGTTGTTGCGCGGTGGCAAGAGCATCTTGCCACCTCCCGGGTAGGCGCGCATACGCTTCGAGCGATCGCGCCCGTCCTGCCCGAGTGGCTGAGGACGAAGCGGTGGGGATCCCTGTCCTACCACGCGGTGCAGATTTTGTCGGGGCACGGGTGCTTCGGCAAATACCTGCACGGGATCCGGCGGGAGGAAACAGTCTCCTGCCATCACTGCGGATGCGCCTCAGACACGGCGCAACACACCTTGGAGGCATGCCCGGCCTGGGCGAGTCAGAGGACTGCCCTGGCCGGAGCATTCGGCGCGGATCTGTCCCTGCCAGCCATTGTGGCAGGGATAGTTAGGAGCGCGGATGACGCTCCGTGGCGGGCCTTTGAGGCCTTCTGCGCCGACGTCCTCTCGCAAAAGGAGGAAGCGGAGAGGGCGAGGGAGATTGCTCCCGATGCCCCCGCACTCCGACGGAGGAGACTTGGGCGGCGCCGGCGCGATTACGCCCGGCGCCAGCCGTGACCTCGGTCTTAGGACCGAGCCAGGAGACGTGGCCATCAACCGGCCACGTAGGGCGAGCCGCGCGCGGGAAACACGCGCGGCAGGACACACGGGCGCGGGCATGCGGGTCAAGGGCAACTAACCGCTCGCTCGCGTCCGGCAAGTCTCCCGTGGGCTCTTGGAGGTTTAGTGGGTAGTGGTCAAGCTGGCCGACCCCCACACTCCCCCCGCCACTTAAGTGGCCAGGCGGGGGCGTCGGTAAAGAGTCGATTCCTCCAAGTAAAAAAAAAAAAAAAAAAAAAAAAAAAAAAAAGGTTCCCCCCCACTGCACTTTGAGTATCTCGTGCAGCCCCAGGGCTTGTCGTTGCCGGGGGGGCCCGGCCATCTGAGTTAGGGTGGTATCGGCTATGGCAAAGTTTGTTAACTTTGTGATGACCGGTGCGTATCCTGCAGACTCGGTGGTCGCTAACTGGGAGGCGGGCGATACTCTGCAATATAGTATATTGCTCTGTATGGCTCGCTACATCTTCGGCGTTCCTTGCCAACCACGTTTTCGTGGTGGGTGGGGAAGACGAAGTTTTGTTTATCGCGGTCCTTCAGACCGCGATGCGCAGTGAAGCGCGAGGAAGGGCGTCCTATGGCGCGGGCCCGGGGCGCTTTTCGCCCTGGGTCGGGTGTGCGATGATATGGCGCGGCGGGCCCTCGACGGCAAATGATACGTCTACGCTGTCAGGGTCGGACCGTTTCACGTCTCCCGTCTGCGCCATGCACACAGCGGCGGCGGGCCGGGAATGGCTTGTTGCCTCCGGTTAGGGGTTGTTACCCCCCCGTCGTCGCACCGAGAAGTCGGCTTTTACGCCCACAAGTCGGCACAGCCGATGAAGAGGATGGCCTGCTGCGGAACGGGAGCCTGAGCCTGTAATGGGACGGGAGCCTGGGCCTGCGGCGGGACTCGACCCCCTGGACATTGCTTCGGGACCGGTCGAGCAGGGTGGAAGGAGCTTTAGGGTAAGTGTTTGCACATTTATTTTTGTAAATAGTGTTTTTTGGAGAGGGTGCTTCTCACCCATGTACATATTTTATTTTCTTTCATTTTACTTTTACTGTTTTTATTGTATATTGTATTGTGTTTTGTAAATAATGTGTTTAGTCGATTGCCCCTTATGGGCATGTATATATTGGACGTTGGAGATCGTTTCTCCAGTGGTGCTTCGGCACGGTGGATGGCGGACTCGTAGTTCGCGAGGCACACTTTGTGTGCCCCCAATCCTAAGTTTGTGGTGCCTGGCGATAGGATGAATGGCTGGTGGGAGTCCAGTCCCTAAGGCACCAAACAATAAACATAATAAAAACATGGAGGCAATTACGTTGAATAAAACTACTCCAGGTGGGTCAAATCCCACCCGCCGTACTGGATCCAGCAATGGTGAAGGTGCCGCGGTTGAGCCGGAACGTATTCTGGAGGCCGGCAACCCCCATGATGAAGTTAGAAAGGGAGTTAGAGATGAAAGTAGGAGTATAAGAGATAAGGAAGGAGGTGAGAAAGAGTTGCGGGTAGTATTGCAGAGGACTGTAACGCCACTGCCCGTGACAGAAGGAGAAGTTCGCGGCTCACGGGTCCAGTCGATGGCTTCGAGGCTGTCTGATTCGGACTCGGACTCTATGTGCAGCGTATCATCCGCTGCATCGAGTAGTCAGGCTCGTTCGAAGGCGTCCTCGCCCGTTTCGGGGCCTGGCCGTTTTTGGCGTGAACGAAGCCGCAAGCGAAAGAAGGAGATGGACGAGGAGGGTAGTTCTACGGACACCCCGACCTCAGTTCAAAGAAAAGGGAGAGGTCGCCCACCAACAACGGGCGACTATATCGGCTTGGCTGCAGCCAAAAAAGAGCTGGCGAAAGCGCAACGGGAGGAGATGCAAGCTAGGGCGGAGGCCGAGCTTATGGCATCAATAACTGAAGCGAGACTGACGAGGAGTACAACACCAGCCTCCTTGGAGTGGGACAGCGCGGACATGATGGAGACCCAAGACTCCGGCCCACGCTCTGCACTTGAGATGCAGAAGTCAATAGATGTCAGCCTAGGCATAATAGAAGACGTGGCGAAACGTTCCTCGAGCCTTAAGGGGACATTTGTTCGCGCCCTGAAAGACGCCGTCGCCACAGTTCGGGAGAGTACCGGAGTGCTGGTGAGACGCACCATATCGGACGAGACTAAGGCTCTAAGAGCTGAAAATGAGCGTCTTCGCAAGGAGTTGGAAGAGCTGAGCAAAAAGGTGGAGGGGATACAGAAGGCCCCACAGCTGCCAGGCAGTTTAGAGGAGTTCGAGGCTGGTCTCATGCGTAAGCTGGGGGACAAGATCAATGCTCGAATTGAGGGGCTTGAACCCCGACTTAATCCTGCGCCACGGATCAGGCCCCCCTTATCGGCGGATAAGAAGAAAGGAGGAGAAAGAATAGAGGAAAGTTTACCTATTCCTATGGCAGTTTCGGCTCCGACAACAGTTCCCGGTCCTGAAACAGGGAAGAAGAAGAAGTCGAAGAAGAAGAAGGCAAAGGCGTCGGAAAAAGTTGAGAACACGGGAGAATCGGTACCCACCGCCCCCGCGCACTCGTCCGTTCCCGTTGCCAAGTCTCAAAGTCGGGCCCTATCCCGCCCGCCCAATCCAGATTCGCTAGAAGAGAACTGGGTCACGGTGGTTAGGAAGGGACGCCCGCTCCGAGAGACGGAAGCCCGTAGCGCTCTGCCGAATACATCTTCGGCAAAACAGGTGAATAAACAGTCGCAGCCGAGAAAGGCACAAACACCAATTCCGGCACGGGCTATACCGAAGCTGAAGACGCCAAGAACTTCAGCGGTGGTGGTTACGGTCACTGAAGAGGCCTCCAAAAAGGGGCTAACCTACAGTGACGTTATAAGAACGGCGAAGACCAAGCTGGATTTAAAAGAAATTACAGGCTTTGAGGCGATTCGTTTTCGCAAAGCTGTAACGGGAGCGACAATCCTTCAACTCCCTGGGGCAAATAGTGGGCCGAAGGCCGATGCCCTAGCAGAAAAGCTGAAGGAAGTCTTTAAGGAAGATGGCATCAAAGTGTCCCGGCCGGTAAAGACCGTGGACATCAAAATCACGGGCCTCGATGACTCAGTAACACCAGAAGAGGTGATCGAGGCCATTGCCAAGAAAGGAGAGTGTCCTGCAGCCCAAGTAAAAGCAGGACAGCTACGAGAGGATAGGTCAGGGCTCTGCACAATCTGGGCCCATGTACCGATAACGGCGGCTAAGAAGCTAATGGTGGGAAGGTTCTTGGTTGGTTGGGTGGTGGCGAAAGTGGCGATAGCCAAAGCTCGAGTGCTTCGCTGCTTCAAGTGCTTGCAAGAAGGCCACGTAGCAAGTCGATGCGATGCTGAAAGCGATCGTAGAGGGACGTGCTATCGTTGCGGCCAGTCTGGACATGTCGCGGCCTCTTGTTCGGCCAAACCGCACTGCCTTGTCTGTGCGTCAGCGAACAAGGACGCCAATCATCAGGTGGGTAGTGCTAAATGCTCGGCCCCCGCTAAAAAGATGAGGAGAAGAGTCCCGAACATCAGGGATGACACCCAACCGAGCGGGGAGGCCATGGAGACAAGCGAGGCCGTCAACAATTAGTTCGGCTCTTAGGATATTACAGGCGAACATAAATCACTGCGTCAGAGCCCAAGATCTTTTAGCTCAGAGTCTGGCGCAGTGGTCTATCAACATAGGAGTCGTCTGCGAACCGTACAGGGTTCTAGATAGGGAAGATTGGGTCGGCAGCAACGATGGCACAGTAGCTATCGTCGTGAGAAACACCAGCGACCTGCCCCCAATCGGTCCCTCGAAGAAGAAAGACGGATGTGTCGCCCTTAAAGTAGGTAGAATCGTGGTCGTGGCGTCCTACTTTTCGCCAAATCGTTCAGTGGCAGAGTTCGAGGTACACTTGGCGGAAGTGGGTGCCCTCATTCGGAGTAGCAGACCGTGCAACATTATCGTCGCGGGGGACTTCAACGCAAAGTCAACGGCTTGGGGTTCTCCGTCCACTGATGCGCGAGGAGAAATTGTCATGGAGTGGGCAGCGGAACATGACCTGGTACTTCTAAATAGTGGAACGGTGCAAACATGTGTGAGAATGCAGGGTGGCTCGATAATAGATTTGTCTTTCGCGAGCTTCTCTATTGTTCGACGCATTCAAGACTGGAGGGTGTTGGCGGGGGAGGAGACCCTGTCTGATCATCGGTACATCCGATTCAGTGTTTCCACCCCGTCGGCCCCCCTTAGACAACGCTCGTCTTTAATTGAAATCAGCCCAAAATGGGCTATCAAAGCCCTGAATAGGGATGACTTGGAGTTGGCTGCCCTGATTTCTAGCTGGTGTCCCATCCCAGACGAAGAACATCCGGAAGAGGGAGCTGAATGGTTCGGTCAGGAGTTGGCACATATTTCGGACTCAGCTATGCCTCGGGTCAGATTTCAACCCGGTAAAGACCAGGTATACTGGTGGTCGGCTGAAATCGCGCGTTTGCGAAGTGAGTGTGTGAAAAAACGTCGACACTACACTCGTTTTAGAAGAAGGCGTCGAGGCAACGGAAACTCGGCTGAAGAGGCTCAAATATACGCGGCGTATCAAGAGGCCAAGAATGTGCTGCGCCTGAGAATTGCAGAGTCGAAGCAAAGGGCGTGGGAGGAGCTACTCGATTCGCTCGAACAAGATCCCTGGGGACGTCCTTATAAACTTGTTATGAACAGGTTGCGTCCCTGGGCACCTCCTATCACCAGCGGAATGGAACCGTCACTTTTGAGAACAGTTGTGGCGGCCTTATTTCCATCTAGCAGCCCAAACGAAGAACAATATCGAGTGGAACATCATTCTTCGGATTTGACTATTCCAGACGTGACGGAGGCGGAGCTAGAAGCAGCCGTTCAGAAAATGCAGTGCAAAAGAACTGCTCCGGGACCCGATGGCCTCCATGGAAAGGCCTGGGCCCTTGCATTGCAATTCGGCCTAAAAGAGCGCTTCCGCAGACTACTGACATCTTGTCTACGGAATACTTGCTTCCCTGAAGCTTGGAAAAAGGGGAAATTGGTTCTCTTGCGGAAACCGGGAAAGCCAGTGGAGTCGCCTTCTGCATATAGGCCAATTGTCTTACTTAACGAGGCGGGCAAGCTGTTCGAACGCGTTGTCGCTAGTAGGGTGGTACGACATTTAACAACAGTCGGGCCGGATCTGTCGGACAATCAGTTTGGTTTCCGGCAGAGACGGTCAACAGTCGACGCAATTGCTCGTCTCAGGGACATCTCGGAGGAGACAACGTCACAGGGTGGAGTTGTATTGGCGGTGTCACTAGATATTAAGAATGCGTTCAACACTCTGCCCTGGAACGCCATTATGAAAGGGCTTGAACAACACCAAGTGCCCTTTTACTTGACGACGACGATTGCATCCTATCTTCAAAACAGGACTATAGTCTACCCTTCAAGAGACGGATGGCAAGAACACACCGTGGAAAAGGGGGTTCCTCAGGGGTCGGTTCTAGGGCCACTTCTTTGGAACCTCGGATATGACGTCGTACTGAGAGGTGCGTTGTTGCATGGAGTGAGCGTTATTTGTTACGCGGATGATACGCTGGTGGTGACGAAGGGTCGCGATTACCGTGACGTGTTGGTGAAGGCTACGGCCGGTGTGGCCCAAGTTGTGGCCAAAATAAGAAGATTAGGCCTTGAAGTGGCCTTGGAGAAGTCCGAAGCCATCATGTTTCACGGCTCGAGGAGAGCCCCACCATCTGGCTCTCAAATTGTGGTCGGAGGAGTTTCTATCGGGGTCGGGAATAGGATCAAGTATCTGGGCCTTATCTTGGACTCTCGGTGGAGCTTCAAAGCACATTTTTCGGCTCTATCTTCGAAGCTGACTATGACTGCTGCGGCGCTCAGCAGACTTATGCCCAACGTCGGAGGACCTAAGTCTAGCAGTCGCAAGTTGTTTGCTGGCGTTGTAAGGTCTCAGGCCCTATATGGTTGTCCAATATGGTCAGGGGACCTCTGCAATCTCAATAGAGCAGTACTTCGGAGGTCACAGCGCATTGTCGGTATTGGCGTCGCGCGGGCCTATAGAACAGCGTCACTAGATGCGGTGTGTCTTTTAGCGAATACACCACCGTGGCATATTGAGGCGGCTGCTCTGGCGGACATCTACTGGAAGAGGGATCGTTCCAGAAAATCGGGACACGAGCCGACCTATGAAGAGATGGAATCGTGGCGCACAGAAGGCCGTGAGGCCATACTAAACAGATGGCGCGAAGAACTCGCTGGCGCTCGCTATGGAAGATGGACACTAGATGCTATCATGCCAGTGTTCAAAGAATGGACTGAAAGGCGGTGGGGGACTCTGTCCTACCATCTGACACAAGGGCTCACCGGGCACGGATGCTTCGGCTCCTATCTTCACAAGATTGCCCGCAGAGAGCCCACCCCCACCTGCCATCACTGCGGATGTGCCAACGACACACCACAGCACACATTATTCGACTGCCCGGCATGGAATGACCATAGAGATACCATGCTGCGGCTTACCGGACTTGACAATCACGGAAATGGCGCCCTCAATTTGTCCCTACTCGTCAGGAGCATGCTCTCTGATGAAGCGAAATGGCAGGCTATTCATGTATTCTGTCAGTTTGTTTTAGGGTCAAAAGAAGAGGCAGAGCGGGCTCGGGAAATAGAACCTGGGGCCCCTCAGATGAGAAGAAGAAGAACAGGCAGGCGAAGGCGCGACTTTGTACGTGCTCCGTAAGTTCGTATTCTTATTGTATATAGTCTGATTTATTTGTACATATCTCATTTGTACATTTTGTAAATATATTCGTAGTAAGTAGGTCAAGAAGGTGAGCTGCGCGCTATGCGCTGCGGCAAAGCACTTGGCAAAAAGGGGGTCTGGACAAGGTTTCAACTGATCGCCAACCCCTTGCCAAACAGTGCGTTGATGGGCTCTTGGATGGTTTAGTGGGTAGTGGCCGACTCGCGGTTGACCCCCACACTCCCCCCGCCATTGCACTGCCCGGCGGGGGGGTCGGTAAAGACTCGATTCCTCCAAGTAAAAAAAAAAAAAAAAAAAAAAAAAAAGGTTAGGTTAGGTTAGGTTAGGTTAGGTTAGGTTAGGTTAGGTTAGGTTAGGTTAGGTTAGGTTAGGTTCCCTTCCCCCCCACTGCACTTTGAGTATCTCGTGCAGCCCCAGGGCTTGTCGTTGCCGGGGGGGCCCGGCCATCTGAGTTAGGGTGGTATCGGCTATGGCAAAGTTTGTTAACTTTGTGATGACCGGTGCGTATCCTGCAGACTCGGTGGTCGCTAACTGGGAGGCGGGCGATACTCTGCAATATAGTATATTGCTCTGTATGGCTTGCTACATCTTCGGCGTTCCTTGCCAACCGCGTTTTTCGTGGTGGGTGGGGAAGACGAAGTTTTGTTTATCGCGGTCCTTCAGACCGCGATGCGCAGTGAAGCGCGAGGGAGGGCGTCCTATGGCGCGGGCCCGGGGCGCTTTTCGCCCTGGGTCGGGTGTGCGAGTATATGGCGCGGCGGGCCCTCGATGGCAAATGATACGTCTATGCCGTCAGGGTCGGACCGTTTCACGTCTCCCGTCTGCGCCATGCACACAGCGGCGGCGGGCCGGGAATGGCTCATAGCCTCCGGTTAGGGGTTGTTACCCCCCGTCGTCGCACCGAGAAGTCGGCTTTTACGCCCACAAGTCGGCACAGCCGATGAAGAGGATGGCCTGCTGCGGAACGGGAGCCTGAGCCTGTAATGGGACGGGAGCCTGGGCCTGCGGCGGGACTCGACCCCTGGACATTGCTTCGGGACTGGTCGAGCAGGGAGGACGAGCTGGGTAAGTCATTGCACAGATTATTTTATTTTCTGTAAATATTATTGTAGAAGAGGGTGCGTCTCACCCCTGTACATATTTAATTTTTCATTTTACTGTATTTTATTTTACTGTATTTTGTAAATAATGTGTTTTTGTCGATTGCCCCCTATGGGCTTGTAAATATTTGACGTTGGAGATCGCTTCTCCAGTGGTGCTTGGGCACGGAGGATGGCGGACTCGTAGTTCGCGAGGCACACTCTGTGTGTCCCCAATCCTAAGTTTGTGGTGCCTGGCGATAGGATGAATGGCTGGTGGGAGTCCAGTCCCTAAGGCACCAAACAAAAACAAAACATAAAAACATGGAGGTATCTACGTATCAAAAAACTACTCCAGGTGGGTCAAATCCCACCCGCCGTACTGGATCCAGCAATGGTGAAGGTGCCGCGGTTGAGCCGGAACGTATTCTGGAGGCCGGCAACCCCCATGACGAAGTTAGAAAGGGAGAGAGCGATGGAAGTAGGAGTGGAAGTGAAAAGAAAGGAGTTGGGAAAGAGTTGCGGGTGGTGTTGCAGAGGTCTGTAACGCCATTGCCCGTGACAGAAGGAGAAGTTCGCGGCTCACGGGTCCAGTCGATGGCTTCGAGGCTGTCTGATTCGGACTCGGACTCTATGTGCAGCGTATCATCCGCTGCATCGAGTAGTCAGGCTCGCTCCAAGGCGTCCTCGCCCATTTCGGGGCCTGGTCGATTTTGGCGCGAACGTAGCCGTAAACGAAAGAAGGAGATGGACGAGGAAGGAAGCTCTACGGACACTCCGACCTCAGTCCAGAGAAAAGGGAGAGGTCGCCCACCAACAACGGGCGAATATGTCGGCTTGGCTGCAGCCAAAAAAGAACTGGCTAGAGCCCAAAGAGAAGAGATGCAAGCTAGGGCGGAGGCCGAGCTTATGTCATCGATTGCAGAGGCAAGACTGACAAGGAGCACAACACCTGCCTCCTTAGAATGGGACAGCGGGGACATAATGGAGATGCAAGACTCCGGTCCACGGTCTGCACTTGAGGTACAGAAGGCGATAGATGCGAGCCTAGGCATCATAGAAGACGTGGCGAAACGTTCTTCAAGCCTCAAGGGCACGTTTGTTCGCGCCCTGAAAGAGGCTGTTGCTACAGTGCGCGAAAGTACCGGGGTGCTGATCACACGCACCATATCTGATGAGACCAAGGCTTTGAGAGCTGAGAATGAGCGTCTTCGCAAGGAGTTAGGAGAGCTCAGCAAAAAGGTGGAGGGGATACAGAAGGCCCCGCAGCTGCCAGGCAGCTTAGAGGAGTTCGAGGCCGGTCTCATGCGTAAGCTGGGGGACAAAATCAATGCTCGAATTGAAGGGCTTGAACCCCGGCTCAATCCAGCGCCACGGATCAGGCCACCCTTATCGGCAGATAAGAAGAAAGAAGGAGAAAGAATAGGAAAGGACTTACCTATTGCTATAGCGGCTCCGGAACCGGCTACTGCTCCCGGTCCGGAAACACAAAGGAAGAAAAAGAGTAAGTCTAAAAAGAAGAAAGGAAAGGCACCGGAGAGGGTTGAACATGCGGTTGAGTCGGCTTCCACCGCCCCCGCGAACTCGTCCGTCCCCGTTGCCAAGTCTCAAAGTCGGGCCCCATCTCGTCCGCCAAACCCAGATTCTCTTGAAGAGAACTGGGTCACGGTGGTAAAGAAGGGACGCCCGCTCCGAGAGAATCAAGGACAACCACAACCAAAGAAGGCCAGTAAAACCAAGGCTTCAAGCACATCTGGCCCCAAGACATCGAAGCCGAAACTCAAAACCCCTCGGACCTCGGCTGTTGTTGTCACCCTAACTGAAGAAGCTACAAGGAAAGGGCTCACTTACAGCGGAGTGTTGAAGGAGGCAAAGGAGAAGTTGAACCTGAAAGAAGTCACTGGTTTTGAGGCTATCAGGTTCAGGAAGGCTGTGACGGGAGCTACAATTCTACAACTCCCCGGCGCTACCAGCGATCCAAAAGCTGACGCACTTGCGGAGAAGCTTAGGGAGTTATTTGATGGAGAGTCGGTTCGGGTGTCGCGGCCAGTTAGAGCTGTTGACATCAGGATCAGTGGACTGGATGAATCGGTCACGTCGGACGAGGTGAGGGACGCGATCGTCAGAAAAGGAGAGTGCCTTGCTTCTCAACTGAGGGTAGGGCCCATAAGACCGGATCGATCGGGGTTGTGCTCCGTCTGGGCACACGTTCCGAACACGGCTGCCAAGAAAATAATGGAGGGGCGATTCTTGGTGGGCTGGGTTTCGGCCAAGGTGTCCCTGGGGAAGCCGAGAGCACTTCGATGTTTCCGGTGCCTCGAAAGCGGTCACGTAGCTGGTCGTTGCAACTGCGAAAGCGATCGCAGCGGCCTTTGCTTCAGATGTGGCCAGCCAGGACATGTCGCGTCTGTTTGCTTGGCCAAACCGCACTGTGCGGTATGTGCAGCGGCAAACCGAGACGCCAACCATAGGGTGGGAGGTGCCAAATGCTCGGCCCCCACCAGGAGAGTTGGAAGAAAGGTCCCAGTAAAGGACATTGTCCCACCGAGCGGGACTCAAAACATGGAGATTGTGGAAACCACGGAAACCTAGTATGTCTCTGCGATTCCTACAAGCCAATCTTAACCATTGTGCCGGAGCTCAAAACCTCTTCGTGCAGACTCTGGCGCAATGGTCAATAGATATCGGGGTTATCGCGGAGCCATACTTGGTTCCAGCGAGGGACGATTGGGTCGGGAACAGCGATAATACGGTCGCAATAGTCGTGCGCAACAACCTCGGCACACCCCCAATCGGAACCGTCACAAGGAAGGTCAACTGTGTCTCTCTTAAAGTCGGAAACATGGTTGTGATAGGGTGCTATTTTTCTCCGAATCGCCCGTTGGTCGAATTCGAAGGGTTCTTAGAGGAGGTCAGCTCTCTTGTTAGAGGTAGCAGACCACAAAACATCGTTGTGGTCGGAGACTTCAACGCCAAATCTACGGCGTGGGGGTCTCCAGCCTCTAACATCAGAGGTGACCTTTTAGTGGAGTGGGCCGCTGAGCACGACCTTGCTCTTCTAAATTGCGGATCGGAGGAGACTTGCATCAGAATGCAGGGGGGCTCAATTGTCGACTTGTCGTTTGCGAGCCCCTCCGTGGCACGTCGCATCCGGGACTGGGAGGTGCTGACAGAGGTGGAGACCTTGTCAGATCACCGATACATACGGTTCAGTGTCGCCCCTCTGGCGGCATCGACCAGGCCCAGTCCATCATCGGATCCTGCAGCCGTTGGCCCGAAATGGGCTATCAAGGCGTTGGACAAGGAGAAGCTGGAACTGGCCACAATCGTCAGCAGTTGGTGCCCAGTTTCCGAAACCAGAACGGTAGAGGAGGAAGCGCAGTGGTTTTCTCAAGAAATGGCGCACATTTCGAATGTTGCTATGCCAAAAGTCCGGGCTTCGCCAAATAAAGACCAGGTCTATTGGTGGTCTCCGGAACTTGCGCGTCTTCGGGCTGCATGTTCAGCTGCGCGTCGTCATTATTCACGTTATAGGCGACGACACAGAGGAAATGGTGACCCAGTGGAAGAGAACCGTATATACGCGGTATACGTCGAGGCGAAAAACATCTTGCGCCAAAAGATAGGAGAGGCAAAACAGAGAGCGTGGGAGGAATTGCTCGAGTCTCTCGAATTGGACCCCTGGGGGCGCCCCTACAAACTGGTCATGAACAGGTTGCGTCCCTGGGTTCCTCCCCTTACAGCTGCAATGGAGCCGTCACTGTTAACATCTGTTGTGTCGGCTCTATTCCCACCCCACGCCTCTGGACTGGGATCACAGGTGGTGAGAGAAGTGCCCGAAGATTCGGAGGTTCCGGATGTAACCGAGGCCGAACTGGAGGTTGCCGTGGAGAAGATGCAGAGCAAGAGAACTTCCCCGGGACCGGACGGAGTGCACGGAAAGGTCTGGGCTCTAGTTTTGGAGTTCGGATTGGAAGATAGATTCCGCAGGTTGCTGTCATCCTGTCTGCGGAGTGCTTGCTTCCCGGAAGCCTGGAAGAAGGGAAAGTTGGTCCTGTTGCGCAAGTCAGGAAAGCCGGCGGAGTCTCCGTCTGCCTACAGGCCGATAGTTCTACTCAACGAGGCGGGTAAACTCTTTGAACGCGTCGTCGCAAACAAAATAGTCCGACACTTAACATCAGTCGGGCCGGATCTGTCGGACAATCAGTTTGGTTTCCGGCAGAAACGATCCACCGTCGACGCAATCGCCCGCCTCCGCGATATCTCGGACGAAGCCACGACTCAAGGAGGGATGGTGTTAGCGGTGTCCTTAGACATTAAAAACGCCTTCAACTCCCTTCCTTGGGACGCGATAATGCAGGGCCTCGAACATCACCGGGTCCCTGCGTACATAGTAAGGACGATTGCTTCATACCTACAAGAGAGAAGCATTATGTTCCCTTCTAGGGATGGATGGGGCGAACATCAAGTGCAGCGGGGAGTTCCTCAGGGGTCGGTGCTTGGCCCGCTTCTTTGGAATCTCGGGTATGACGTCGTTCTGAGAGGTGTGTTGCTGCCGGGGGTCAGTGTAATATGCTACGCTGATGACACCCTAGTCGTAACAAAAGGTCGAGACGTTAGAGACGTAATGGTGAAGGCCACGGCTGGAGTTGCACAGGTTGTGGCAAAAATCAGGAGACTAGGTCTTGAGGTGGCGTTGGAGAAATCTGAGGCCATCCTGTTTCACGGCCCAAGAAGAGCCCCATCATCTGGCTCTCAAATAGTCGTCGGAGGAGTTCCCATCGGAGTCGGGACGACTCTGAAATACCTGGGCCTCGTACTAGATTCCCGATGGAACTTCAGAGCACACTTCGCGGCGTTAGCACCCAAGCTCACGGCTACAGCGGCGGCTTTAAGCAGAATCATGCCCAACGTCGGTGGGCCGAAGTCGAGTCACCGCAAGCTCTTCGCGGGAGTTGTGAGATCCCAAGCTCTATATGGTGCGCCAATATGGGCTGGTGACCTGGATAACGCCAATAAGGCAATACTTAGGCGATCGCAGCGGTCCGTAGCCATCAGAGTAGCACGGGCCTATCGAACCACATCTTTCGACGCGGTGTGCCTATTAGCAGCAACGCCGCCATGGTACGTCGAAGCTAAAGTGTTGGCGGACTTTTACTGGAAACGGGACAGATGCCGAAGGTCGGGAGTGGAACCGACCTACGAACAGGTGGAGGCATGGCGTAAACAAAGCCGCGAGGCCATAACGAGATTATGGCAAGAAGATCTAGCCAATGCCAAATTCGGAAAATGGACGCTGCAGGCTATACTGCCAGTGTTCCAACAATGGATTGACAGGCAATGGGGGACACTGTCTTACCATCTGACCCAGGGTCTCACCGGGCACGGTTGCTTCGGCAGCTACCTTCACAAAGTTGCCCGAAGAGAACCCACCCCCATCTGCCATCACTGCGGGTGTCTTAATGATACCCCGCAGCACACAATATTTGACTGCTCAGCATGGGACTCTCAGCGGGGAACCATGTTGAGAATTACCGGACTAGACAGACCAAGACGTAACCCCCTTAGTTTACAGGACCTGGTTCAGAGCATGGCCTTCGACGAATCCAAGTGGAAAGCTGTCCAGGCGTTCTGCGAGGAGGTACTCAAGGCCAAGGAGGATACTGAGCGGGCCCGGGAAATAGAACCGGGGGCTACGCTCCAGAGAAGAAGAAGAACAGGGAGGCGCAGACGCAATTATGCGAATGCGCCGTAAGTACTTGTAAAAAGTCAAAATAGTAAGATTTAAATGTACATTTTATTTGTTTGTACATTCTGTAAATATAAAATAGCGAAGTAGGTCAAGAAGGTGAGCTGCGCGCTATGCGCTGCGGCAAAGCACTTGGCAAAAGGGGGTCTGGACAAGGTTTCAACTGATCGCCAACCCCTTGTCAAACAGTGCGTTGATGGGCTCTTGGATGGTTTAGTGGGTAGTGGCCGACTCGCGGTTGACCCCCACACTCCCCCCGCCATTGCACTGCCCGGCGGGGGCGTCGGTAAAGATTGCGATTCCTCCAAGTAAAAAAAAAAAAAAAAAAAAAAAAAAAAGGAAGGTTAAGGTTAGGTTCCCTTCCACTGCACTTTGAGTATCTCGTGCAGCCCCAGGGCTTGTCGTGCCGGAAGGGCCCGGCCATCTGAGTTAGGGTGGTATCGGCTATGGCAAAGTTTGTTAACTTTGTGATGACCGGTGCGTATCCTGCAGACTCGGTGGTCGCTAACTGGGAGGCGGGCGATATTTTGCAATATTGTATATTGCTCTGTATGGCTTGCTACATCTTCGGCGTTCCTTGCCAACCGCGTTTTTCGTGGTGGGTGGGGAAGACGAAGTTTTGTTTATCGCGATCCTTCAGATCGCGATGCGCAGTGAAGCGCGAGGAAGGGCGTCCTATGGCGCGGGCCCGGGGCGCTTTTCGCCCTGGGTCGGGTGTGCGAAGATATGGCGCGGCGGGCCCTCGACGGCAAATGATACGTCTACGCTGTCAGGGTCGGACCGTTTCACGTCTCCCGTCGGCGCCATGCACACAGCGGCGGCGGGCCGGGAATGGCTTGTTGCCTCCGGTTAGGGGTTGTTACCCCCCCGTCGTCGCACCGAGAAGTCGGCTATAAGCCCACAAGTCGGCACAGCCGACGAAGAGGATGGCCTGCTGCGGAGCGGGAGCCCGAGCCTGTTACGGGACGGGAGCCTGGGCCTGCGGCGGGACTCGACCCCTGGACTTTGCTCCGGGACCGGTCGAGCAGGGTGGCAGAAGCTTGCTGCTAGGGTAAGTTTTTTGCACATTGTATATTTGTATATAGTGTTTTGGAGAGGGTGTTTTTCACCCGTGTATATATTATTTTTCATTGTGTAAATATTGTATATAGTTTAAGGCGGAGATCGGCTCTCTGCCGCTTTTAGGCGGTTGTGAGCCGAGAGCGGTGCTTCGGCACGGAGGTTGGCGGACTAGTTGTCCGCGAGGTGCGCTGACATAGGCAGTGCACCCCCAATCCCAAGTCTGTGGTGCCTGGCGAGGGGATGAATGGCTGGTGGGAGTCCAGTCCTTAAGGCACCAACCAAAACGATCCAGACCTCGTTGCGGCGGGGGGGCTCAGTCGGTGTCTTTTATGGTGGCCGGGTGCCTAATCGGGAACAGATTGTCTGTGGGTCTGCCGATTCTGGCCGCTATTGCACCGACGAAGCCAATTGGGTCAATCGGTCGGTCTCCGAAGACGACGCGGAGACTGATCACGGAGACGCAGCGCTCACCTCAGAGCGCCGCGAGCGTGCCTTCGAGCACGGGAGGAGAGGTCAGTTGTGACCGGCGGCCTTTATGGCGTAGCATGGTGGTGAGGACACCACGGTCGGCGGTGGTGGTGGACCGCGGCGCGGCGGGCCGGGCGTGGCGATGTGCTGCGCTTGGTTAGGGGTTTCGGCCCTCCGTCGGGCAAACCTGTTTCCCCGGATGCGTGTCGTGGATCATGTCTCGCGGCGCATCTGGGACCAGGGGGCTTGCCTTAATCGGCCGGCCCGAGAGGAAGGAAACCTCAGAAAAAACCCTGAATTTTGCGAGGTGTTGGGGTGTCTACGGACCTCTGCGCGACACCGCGCCCCCGCTTGCCCGCAGGGCGAGTGGGTGGTCCGGCAGTAACCGGGCCATCTAGCGGCCAACCTCTGGCGACCGCCCGACCGCCAGTTGTATTAGGGTTACCCGGGTATAGGGCTCTGCCCGGGTGGACCTAGCATTTCCCTCAAAACAAAAGAAATGCCGTTGCGCTTTGTAGCGAGGCGCAACATATGTTATTATGGGAAAAAGATGGAAGGTGATAAACAAATAACTAAAACAAAAACTTATGGTAGGAAGAAGGAGGAGGAAGATAGGAGAGGAGAGGAAGAAGTAGAAGGGCGAGCGCTAAGGGTGGCGTTGACAAGGTTGTCGGCGTCATCCACGGCAAGGGCTAGCCGCAGTGCGAGGTCTTCGAGGGCCTCGCTAAATCTGTCCGATTCGGATTCGGACTTGGTCAGCGTGTCGTCCGCTGGCTCAGTCCCTCCGGTCGGAGAAACGGGGTCGAGCCGCTTCTGGCAACAGAGGCGGAAACGACCCAAGGTAGGAGAGGTTTCGCAAGAAGAGGGGTCTTCCACAGACACCCCTCTCTCTGTGGCGAGGAAAGGGTCCGCCGAGAAGCGACCTAGGGGCCGCCCGCCAACCACTGGCGAGTACGTCGGGTTGGCGGCCGCCAAAAAGGCCCTGAATAAGGCCAAGAGGGAGGAGATCCGGCTCCAGGCGGAGGCTGAGGTTATGGCGGAGGCCCGATCTACGCGGCCTTCTTCTGCGGCGTCACTGCAGTGGGACGAGGGGGACATAATGGGCACTTGTGTCCCCATGCCTCGTTCTGCCACCGACGCCATTACAGGCATCGAGGAGAGTCTGGGCGTGATCCAGAGCGTGGCGAAGAAGTCCGGGAGCCTTAAGGGAACCTTCGTCCGCGCCCTAAATGATGCGGTCACGTCCATTCGGGACAATTCCGCTGTCCTAATACAGAGGACGGTCTCTGAGGAGACAAAGGTCCTCCGAGCGGAGAATCAGAAGCTCCGCGAAAGAATGGAGGAGCTGACGCGGCGGGTGGAGGATCTGCAGCGGTCCTCCCAACTCCCCACTAGTCTGGAGGAGTTGGAGGCAGGGTTGCTGCGGAAGATTGGGGACAGGGTGAACGCCAGGTTCGAGGGCTTGGAGCCCCGACTGAACCCTGCGCCCCGACTCCGGCCGCCGTTGGCGGTCGATAAAGGAGCCGCCAAGCCTGCCGCCCCTGCAGCGAAAAAGGGGCCGCAGCAGAAGAAGAAAGAGAAGAAGAGGGTTCCGGTTAGGGGCGAGGTAGAAGTGCCTCCCCCGGAACCATCGAGGCCGCCGAACCCGGACTCCCTAGAGGGGAATTGGGTAACGGTGGCCAGGAAGGGACGCCCGTCCCGGAATAAGGAGCCTCGGAGTCTGCCTGCTCAATCCAGGGCGGGAGGACAGGCTCCGAAGAAGAAACAGGGTCGACCGCTTGCAGGCAAGGGGCCTGCAAAGTCGTCCGGCCCTCAAACGGCGAAAAAGCCGAAACTCAGGGCCCCTCGGTCTTCGGCGGTGGTATTAACCATCACCGAGGAGGCTACGAAGGCTGGACTTTCGTACAGCGAGGTCCTGAGGAAGGCCAGGGAGAGGCTGGACCTCAAGGAGGTCACAGGCCTCGATGGCATCAGGGTGAGGAAGGCGGCCACCGGAGCCACCATCCTCCAACTCCCCGGAGCCGCGAGCGGCCCCAAGGCCGACGCTCTTGCGAAAAAGCTCGGGGAGGTCCTGGACGGCGAGGCCGTCAAGGTGTCGCGGCCACAAAAGGCCGTCGATGTCCGAATTTCGGGCCTTGACGACTCCGTCTCGAAGGAGGAGGTGGCTGATGCCATCGTGAAAAAGGGCGAGTGCCCTCTCTCACAAGTGAGGGTCGGAGACGTCAGGCGGGACCGCACGGGACTTGGCGCAGTTTGGGCGCATGTCCCTGTGGTCTCCGCGAAACGGCTCCTGGAGGGTCGATTTTTGGTGGGATGGGTGGCGGCGCGGGTGACACTGGGTAAACCCCGGGCACTGCGTTGCTACCGATGCCTGGAGGCTGGCCACGTGGCAAGCCGTTGCGATTGCGCGAGCGATCGTAGCGGTCTCTGCTACAGATGCGGTCAGCCCGGGCACTTGGCGGCCTCTTGTACGGCCAGTCCGCATTGCGCGGTTTGCGCAGCGGCCGGCAAGGAGGCAACCCATCGGGTGGGTGGTGCCAAGTGCTCGGCCCCCACCAAAAAGATGCGGCGGAGAGTCCCGGAGAAGCGGGCCGCCGTCCCTCCGAGCGGGACCGCAATGGAGGTCGCGGAGACCGTAGAGACATAGTATGGCCCTACGGTTCCTCCAGGTGAACCTGAATCATTGCGCCAGGGCTCAGGATCTTCTATTCCAGGGCCTGGCGCAGTGGTTCATCAACATTGCGGTGATTGCGGAGCCATACGCGGTGCAGCAAGGGGACAATTGGGTCGGGGACTTTGGCGAAACTGTCGCCATTGTCGTCACCGGAGCCAGTGGCTCTCCCCCAATTGTCTCTTCACGGAGAGGCCAGGGTTGTGCCGCAGTGAAGTGCGGCCACATGACGGTAGTGGGGGTCTACTTCTCGCCCAACAGGACTCTGTCGGAGTTCGAGGAGTTCCTGGCGGAAGTAGACGCCCTGGTGTCGTGGGGTCGCCCGAATGAGGTGGTAGTGGCGGGGGACTTCAATGCCAAGTCGGCAGTTTGGGGTTCCCCAACCTCAGATATTCGTGGCGACGTCCTCGTCGAGTGGATGGCCGCGCACAACTTGGCGCTCGTGAACCGGGGCTCGACGCAGACGTGCGTCCGCATGCAGGGGGGGTCGATAGTGGACCTTACCTTTGCCAGCCCCGGGCTTGCGCGCCGCATCGTCGACTGGGAGGTGTTGGACGGGGAGGAGACGCTGTCTGATCACCGTTACATACGGTTCAGTGTCTCCTCTCAATCCACGGCGATCGGGCCTGGCGCCCCTCCGGCGCAGAAGGGCCCTCGTTGGGTCCTGAAGTCTCTGGACAGGGAGATGGTGGAGGTGGCCTCGATAGTGGCCACCTGGTGTCCAGAACCGGAGTCCTCTTCGGTGAGGGAGGAGGCGGAGTGGTTCGGGGCGGCCTTGGAGCGTATCTGTGACGCTTCAATGGCTCGTTTCCGACCTCTTCCGCCGCGTAGGCAGGTGTACTGGTGGTCGGGGGAGTTGGCCGCTCTTCGGGCAACTTGTGTGGTGGCCCGACGCCAGTACACCAGGTACAAAAGGAGACGGCGTGCCTCTCGAAACACCGAAGAGGAAAGGCGCCTCTATTGCCT